GTCAGGTGCCCATACTAGACCTCGCGCTGCAAAGGCCTCCTGCTCCAGTGTCTGCATATACTGCCCCCACACCTGGTTGGCCTCCTCCTGCGACCCGAAGCTCGCGATGTCCTGATACCGAGGCGGCGCTGGTGCGCACCCAATGCCCAGCTCTGGCAAGGCCTTCGGCTTCTCCAGCACCCTGACCAAGCGCCCCGTCACCTTTAGCCTGAGAGTAAGCCTCACTGGCTTGTGGGGCGCCGACGGCCACTCCTCCTGCACTCTGACGTCCATCACCTGGTTGACCAGGCTGTCCGAAACGATGAAGTAATCGATCTCGCTTACACCATGCGCACGTCTGCACGTGCCGCACCTGGCTCCTGACGCCACCACTCGCGCCTTGGCCATCTTGACGCTCCCTACCTCCGCCATCTTCTCGGGCGCCACCTGGAAATCGCCCCCGATGGTCCACGGCACTCCTAGCGCCTCCAACTGACCAATCACCTTGTTGATGATCTCCGTGTTCCTGAACGTCATTCCCTCCGCCGTCCACAAGTAGACCGACGCGTAGATGATGCCCTTACCGACCGATAACCACGCAGCTACAGCTCTCCCTGGACTGTTGCGCGGTGACAGGTCCCACTTCTCCTTGCCGTACAGGTGGGTCATGCCGATGCACCTGGGCGCCACCACCGCCACGCCCGCTGAGGTTCCTGCTTCCCCACCTGGTCCTATGGTTTGGTTCGCTGCTACACCGCCGAACTGGTACCCCTGCACCTTCATGCTCTGCGACACTACAGCGATCCTGTCGTCCGTGAGACGATGCTCCTGCACTGCGTAGCACTGCAGCTTACCCCCTTCGGAGCCCTCGATCCTCTCCTTGATGGTGCCCCACCCCGAACCGTTGAAAGTCCACAAGGTGAGGCTCTCGTGCTGGTTCTGGCGCAGCCTGTTAGGATCGCTTGGCCCGCTTGTTATGCTCCGCCAGGCTGACGCACACCTCCAGCCACCGCTTTCGCTGTGCTTCGCTGGCGTCCGCGGGTACCCCTCCTGCATGTAGCCACTCTTGTTCTTCAGGTGACAGCTGTGGACCCTGCTCGCGTTCAGCTTGCGTTCCTCTGGCTGCACCTGTGCCCCCACTGTTGCCACCAGCAGGAGCACCACAAGCCTCCTCAGTGTCCATGCCGTCCTCGTCGTCCTTGGGCTCCTCCTTGACGTTGTCCAGCACCTTGCCGAGCGCTGCGAACAGCTGCTCGTGCTCCGACTTGCTGATGCCGCTGCCTTCGGCGGCACCCTCGCACTGCTTCTGCATGGCCGTGAGGAAGCCCTTGCCTTTGATGGGGACGCCCTGGACCTTAAGCTCCGACTCCTTGGCCCTTGCGACCTCAAGCTGCTCCCTCTTCTTGGTGAGCTTCTCCTGTGCCTCCTGCATGGCCTTCTGGTGCCGCTTGACCTCGTCGATGATTGCCGCCTCCTCCTTCTCCAGCTTCTCTCTGGCCACCCGTGCCAATGTGAGCTGGACCGAGTGCGGCTTCGTGCTTCGCTTGGCATCCTTGGCGCGCATGTAGCGTTCCTGAGCCTGCTGGTACTCGACCGACTGGTCACCCCACTCGGTATTGCACGACTGGGCCCACCTGAGTAGCTTATCCAAGTCAACAGGCTTCTCGTCGTCATCCTCCTGAGTGGCGTGCTGCTGCTTCTTGAGGCCCTGCAGCTCTGCCCGCATGAAGTCCACCTGCTTCTGGAGCGCCGCCTCCCGCTTTGTCGGGCCCTGCAGCACGTCCTTGTACGTAAGTTCTTTGCGCGGTCCAAGGGCCCCACATCCCCGACACTTCTTGCGCGTCGCGTAGTTGTCCGCCGTCCCACAGCTGCAAGACCAGTAGCCGTTGTACGAGCGCGGCCAGCCCCCAGCCGACATCGTGCGCCCGTCTGCCGAACGGTAAACCGATCTGCCTGCCGCGGATTAGCGGTGTCCCTTTGACCACCAGGGCGGATGCCCCACGTGATAGTCATCTTGAGCCAAAATGGCTATGGAAGAAGCCCCAAGAGACTCCCAAGAGATCCCCAAGAGGCCCCCAAATGGCCCCAAGAGGCCCACGAGGCCCCCAAGAAGCCCCAAGAGGCCCCCAAGAGGCCCCCAGAGGTCCCGGCCAACCACGATATCCCTACCAGCGTCCATGAGGCCTCTGACCCACCACCCACGCACGGTGGTGGGATAGGCCGACGGCCACTGGATAAATGCGGAATGAAAGGGGGAAGGAAGGGAAAAGAGAGGAGGGACGAGGGCGAAGGATGATCACATCAGTCGGAGCGCCCCGGATCGGCGGCACTGGCCGAAGGCCACTACAATATGTGCTGTGCTGCGCCGTGCTGAATTGCGATGCGCCATGCCGCGATTGTGCTCTATAGCCTCGTGGATCGAGTCCTCCTTTGCAGCCGAGTCCTGACCGAACTGATCTGGATCTTAAGCTCGAGCTGCCTGAACACAGAGTAGCTGCCCCAGAGCTAATTGACAGGGGGACTTGCCAGGAGGACGCGCCGCGGAACGTCTCAAGGGACGCGCCAAGCGACGTGCCAAGGGACGTGCCATGGGGACGCACCGCGGGACGTGCCAAGGGGACGCGCTACGGAACGTGCTGGGGAAAAGCGTTTCGCTCGAGACATCCTGTCGAAATCCAAGGAAATCCTAGCAAAACAAACGAATTAGTCAAGACATCCTCGAAACTTCTGCGCGCGGGACGCGGCACGCGCGAGACATCCTCGGAATTCCTGCGAGCGGGACGTGAAAACAAGCATTTTGCCTGAGACATCTTCGGACGCGCTACGGAACGTGCCAATGGACGTGCCACGGGACGCGCTCCCAGGGCCACGATCCCTCGTAAATTACGCTGCGTCCGCGCTCCCAGGGCCACGATCCCTCGTAAATTACATTGGGGTCGCGCTCCCAGGGCCCCGACCCCTTGTAAATTACGCTGCGTCCGCGCTCCCAGGGCCACGATCCCTTGTGAATCACGCTGCGTCCGAGCCCCCAGGGCCCCGATCCCTGATATTCTACGCCCGCGCTCCAAGGGCTACGATCCCTCGTAAATTATATTGCGTCCGAGCTCCCAAGGCCCCGACCCCTCGTAAATTACGCTGCGCCCGCGCTCCGAGGGCCACGATCCCTCGCAAATTACTCATGGTCCGAGCTCCAAGGGCTACGATCCCTCGTAGATTACGTCGCGTCCCTGGGGCACCCAGGCCCCTTAAGTTTTGCCAAACAATAGATTTTTGGCGCGGGGGGCGCACTATCCTCGAGCGGGCACGCAAAAACTCAACATGTTCACGCTAAATCCTGGAAAAACAAACGAATTAGTCGAGACATCCTCAAAGTTCCTGCGCGCGGGACGCGGCACGCGCGAGACATCCTCGGAATTCCTGCGCGCGGGGCGCTTTTCCGCGTCGCGGTCGGGGCTCCAGACATCGTTTTTTTTTGTCGAGGGGTCTGCTAAAAGTGCCCAGCACCCTCTTTTTCACTAAAGAAAACGGAGACCCGCGGACCCCGTTATTTGTCGAGGATCCGAGATGGGGGGTCGATTTTCCTCGAGCGGGCACGCGCGAAATGCATTTGTTCCACGCCGAATTGGACTTCACCTGGTTTTTTATAAAGAATAATTCCGCCGGCCCCCTTCAAGTCAAAACCGAAGGGTTAACTATTAAAAGAGAACCCTGGGCCCACGCCCTTTCCGGGGAAAACAAAAGTACATAAATGTTTTTGGCCTCCTCAGGCCCTCTCGAGGGCCCTTTTGACAGCCTCTGGAGCCGTCTCGAAGCTCTCTTGGACCGTCTGGAGGCCATCTGAAGCTCTCTTGAGGCCGCCTTGGGGCCCTCTGGGGCAGTTTTGGTGCCCTCTTGGGCCGTCTTGAGGCCCTCTGACCAGTTCACCCGAAAAAGTACGAAGAAGCAGGCCATGGGAGCCGCCCGGGAGCCGCTTCACTCGAAAAAATATTGCGGAAACGGACGCTTAGACCATCCCTTCCCCCCTCCTGCCTCTCCCCTGCATCCCTCCCCCAAGGGCTTCGCCCCACCAAAACGTCATCACTCGTACATCACTCTTTCCGTTACCTGCTTAGCACGGGTACGGACAGCGCATGCGCTTTCAGAGCGCAAGGGATCACTGGCTAATTAGTTGTGCCTCATGTTCGTTCCCATCTTCCCCTCGCTCTTATCTTATCACACCATGTTTTCCCTAATCCTTCTGTTGCTCCCTTCGCACTTAAGGACCACATCCCAGAAATAATTACGAGCTTCTGGAAAAACGAAACAGTGTCGAAACAGTGTCGGACGAGTGTCTCCCAGGGCCCGACACGTGAAAACCCTCGAATTTCGGTACTCGTCTGGTGCTCGAAACTCTTTCTGGCAATCCAGGCTAAAGTAGGTTGGAACATCATAACTGTAGTGTCGCGTTGTGGCCCTTCGTCGTGTTCTGGACTTCCGGGTGAGCCTCCTTGGGCAGGAACGCCCGCAGACGGCCCAAGCGGCCCCGAACCGAACAGGCCCCAAGGGCTCCCAAGAGGCCCAAGGGGGGCCCCAAGAGGCCTCCAAGAGGCCCCAGGAAGCTCCCAGGAGAACCCAAGAGTGCCCCGAGAGGCTTCCAAGAGGCTTCCTCCTCCTCCTCCTCCTCCTCCTCCTCCTCCTCCTCCTCCTCCTCCTCCTCCTCTTCTACTCCCTTTTCCTTCTTCTCCTCATTACCCTCTTCCTCACGTGTTCTCCAAAAGGCTTCAACGACAAAAACGGGGGAACACATGGTCTGATGACTCTAGCCCAACGTTCGGCCACACGGGCGCCTGCAAAAAGGCAGGGGGCGACGGCGCATCGCCGCAGGCGTCTTCCCTACCGATCAATGGGAGGCGGGAGTGGGGTCCGGAGCTCGCCACGTGCTCGATGAATGCCGACTCCCCCGCCCCCGGCCCGGGGCCCATCAGGTTGCCTGACTCGCTGATCGGCGAGGGCAGGGCTCGGACTTCGCAGGCCGGGCCGAGCCTCTCCAGCAGCCGCAGGTACTGCACGCCGTCCATGCGGCCCCCCGCCCGGCTCTCCGCCCGCGGGTCGCCGCGGCGCTCGGTGGCCGCCGCCCGCGAGGGTGTCCAGGTCCACTCCTGCAGGGGGCGCAAACGAAGAAAAACAAAAGTGTGTACATATATACATATACATGTGCGTGAGCGACGAAAAGAAGCGGGTCTCACGCGAGATGGCATAGCAATCTTACGGCGCAGCCCAGGCGGGTCGCCAGCGCGGCACCCTACACTGGAAGCGAAGGCGCTTGCGCGCGACCTCACACGGGCAGCTTACCCGTGAATGTCGGCGCAGTCGACCCAGCTTTTGACGCCGCTCATGCGGCTGGTTCCGGAAACCCGGAGCACAAAAATGGTGCCGGCGTCCGCCAGCCGCCTGCCGGCTTCCCCAGCGGAGACGGCCTCATTTTACGTCCGCGGGCTTCCGCCGTTCCTCCGCCGCGCCTTCCGCCGAGGAAGAGATGACAGCTCCTTCGGTCCTCGAAGGCGAGGCCCTTCTTTGGAACGCCCCATCTGTCGAAATGCGCCACACTTTAGGCAGGCTCGTCCCCGTCCTCATCCTCCTCCTCCTCCTCCTCATCCTCGTCCTCCTCCTCCTCCTCCTCCTCCTCCTCCTCCTCCTCCTCCTCCTCATCATCATCATCATCATCATCATCATCATCATCATCATCATCAACTCTGGAACGCCTCGTATGTGCGCGGGCACATCTCTCTTCGTGGGTCCATCCTCGCAGGGGCAGGAGCGGGGAGCACGAGGGCCTGGGGCACAAGGGCCTGGGGACCCCTTCGGGGCCACAGGTCAAGCCGAAATCGGCGCGCGCCCTCGAAGGCCGACCACGGCATCCCCCTTTCGGCCAGCGCCTGCATACATGTTCATCGATACATACATGTGAGAGAGCGTGATCAACCGCGGCTTTACTGTGGAAAATTGCCGCCCCTTTCCTCCGGAACCCGGGGTTCCCCCCCCCCCTCTCCGAAAATCCTCCCCCCCCCCCTGCTGGACCCCCCCCCCCCCCCCCCCCCCCGGCAAAACCCCCCCCTCCCCTAACCCCTCCCCCCCCCCCTGTTCCCCTCGAAAACCGGGGGGGGGTCACTACCGGCTCGACCCCCCCCCCCCCCTCGAAAACCGGAGGGGGGTCACTACCGGTTCGAACCCCTCCCCACCCCCCCCTCTCACCGCCAGCAAACGACTCCCGGTCCCTACCACCGTCCGCATCCACATCCCCCACTGTTGTTCCCAGCACCACTGTCCTCACCACCACTGTCCCCGCTGGTTCCACCACCGCCCCTACTGTCCCCACCAGTGCCACCACCACTGTCGCACTGTCCCCACTGTCCCCACCACTGTTCCCACCACGGCCCAAACCACTGCCCGACTATCCCCACTGTCCCCACTGTCCCACTGACTCCTCCGCTGTCCCACTGAGCTGTCCCACTGTTCCCACCACTGTCCCCACTGTCCCCACCACTGTCCCCACTGTACCTCTGTCCCATTGTCCCACCGCCGTCCTCGCCACCGCCTTCACTACTGTCCCTACCACCACTGTACCCTCCACTGTCCTACTGTTTCCACCACATTCCCACTGTCCCCACACCAAGGTCCCCACCACCACCGTCCCCACCACTGTCCCACTGTCCCCACTGTTCCCACCATTGTCCTCACCATTGTCCCCACCACTACCGTGCCCACCACTGTCCCACTGTCCCCACCACTGTCCCACTGTCCCCTCACCACTGTGCCCACCACCACCGTCCCCACCACTGTCCGCACCCCCCCTCGGTTTTCGGGGGGGGGGGGGGGGGTTCGAACCGGCGAACCGGCGGTAGTGACCCCCCCCCGGTTTTCGAGTTCGAGGGGGGGGGGGTTCGAACCCGTAGTGACCCCCCCCCTTTTCATGATGACCTTGGGGGGGGGGAGGGGTTCGAACCAGTAGTGACCCCCACCTGTTTTCCTGAGAGGGGGTGGGGGGTGGAGGGGTTCGAACCGGTAGTGACCCCCCCCGGTTTTCCGCCAGCAGCGGTAGAACACGCTCTTACATACATGTAGATACATACATATGCATACATGTATATGTACTTATACACATACATGTGTATGTATCTATATACATACACATGCAATTATATTATCTATACACACAAGACACCCTGGAGAATTCATCAAGGGGCCCGGAGCCCAGATTGCCATTTTCCCAGGGTTTGGCGCGGTCTGTCGCTTGACTGATTCGGGACCAAGAGGGCCCCAAGACGGGCCAAGACAAACTTGGCTCGGTGGGGGGATGGGCCGCAGGCCAGTAGACCTGGCCCGGCACAGAAACGGAAAGAGCGCTGCAGCAACAGGTACCGAAATTACTCCCACCACCGTTCGTACCCGGAGCCTTGGCGTTGAGCGCTTGTTACGTCACCCCTCGCTCTTGGGAGCCTTGGTGTGCAGAGATGGTTGCGTTGCCGCCCGTTCCTGAGCCTTGGCTGGGCCTTGGTGTCAGGAACTTGTTACATCACCGCTCTCTGCTGGGAGCCTTGGTCTTATCAGCTTGTGTACGTCACCGTTCGCTCTTTGGAGCCTTGGTGTGAAGAGCTTTTTGCGTTACCAATCGCTCTTGGCGTCTCTGGGCCTTCGTGGGAGTCCTATTGGGGCTCTTTTCGGGCCCTCCTGGGGGCCTCTCGGGGGCCTCCTGGAGGCCTCTTGGGACTTCTTGGGGGTCTGTGGGGGCCTCCTGGGAGCGTCTCGGGGCGAAAGGCTAGACTTTCGGGTTCGTGGTCCCCCTCTTGGGGCCGTCTTGGGGTCCTCTTGGGCCGTCTTGGGCGCTTTTGGGGCCGTCTTGGCGCCCTCTTGGGCCGTTCTGGGGGCCTCTTGGGAGCCTCTTGGGCCGGTCTTGGGGGCCTCTTGGACCGTCGTCTACGCCGTGAAAGCTGAAAAGCCGTGTATGCTAAAACTGCACGTTTTCCCACAGGAAATCAATGGGGGCCTCTTGGGGCTTCTTGGGGGGCTCTGGGGGCCTCCTGGGAGCTTCTTGGGGCGAAAGGCTAGACTTTTCGGTTCGTGGTCCCCCTCTTGGGGCCGTCTGGGACCCTCTTGGGCCGTCTTGAGCGCCTCTTGGGCCGCCTTAGGGCCCTCTTGGGCAGTTTTGGGGGCCTCCTGGGAGCCTCTTGGGCCGTCTTGGGGCGGTCTTGGGTGCCTCGTGGACCGTCTTCAACGCCGTGACACCGAAAAGCCGTGTACGCTAAAAATCGACCTGTCCCCATAGGAATTTAAGAATTTTGGGGGGACCTCTTGGGGCTTTTTTAGGGGGCCCTCGGGGCCTCCTGAGAGCGTCTTGGGGCGAAAGGCTAGACTTTTCGGTTCGTGGTCCCCCTCTTGGGGCCGTCTTGGGGCCCTCTTCGGCCGTATTGGGCGCCTCTTGGGCCGTCTGGGCGCCCTCTTGGGCCGTTTTGGGGGCCTCTTGGGAGCCTCTTGGGCCGTCTTGGGGTGGTCTTGGGGACCTCTTGGGCCGTCGTCAACGCCGTGAAAGCCGAAAAGCCGTATATGCTAAAAATGCACGTTTTCCTAAGGAAAATCAATGATTTTGGCCTCTTGGGGCCCTCTTGGGGCGCCCCTTGGACGCCTCTTGGGGGCCTCTTGGGGGCCTCTTGGGCCGTCTTGGACGGTCTTGGGCTCTCTTGGAGCGCTCTTGGGCTGCCTTGGGGGGGAAACCCGAAAAATCATGTAAAAACCCGAGGGAAACGGCCCAAAACGGCCATTAACGCCAATGTCCCCGGGCCTCGCCCCTCCCCTGGAACCCCTCCCTCTAGGGCTTCGCCCCCAAACAACGTCATCGCTCGTACCTCACTATTTCCGTTACCTGGCCCGGCACAGAAACGGAAAGAGCGCTGCAGCAACAGGAGCCGAAATGACTCACACCACCGTTCGTACCGGGAGCCTTGGCGTTGAGAGCTTGTTACGTCACCCCGCGCTCTTGGGAGCCTTGGGATTCAGAGATGGTTGCGTTGCCGCCCGTTCCTGAGCCTTGGCTGGGCCTCGGTGTCAGGAACTTGTTACGTCACCGCTCTCTGCTGGGAGCCTTGGTCTTATCAGCTTGTTTACGTCACCGTTCGCTCTTGGAAGCCCTGGTGTGAAGAGCTTTTTGCGTTACCGATCGCTCTGGGCGTCTCTGGGCCTTCGTGGGAGTCCTATTGGGGCCCTTGTCGGGCCCTCCTGGTGGCCTCTTGGGGGCCTCTTGGGGGCCTCTTGGGGCTTCTTGGGGGGCTCTGGGGGCCTCCTGAGAGCGTCTTGGGGCGAAAGGCTAGACTTCGGGTTCGTGGTCCCCCTCTTGGGGCCGTCTTGGGGCCTCTTCGGCCGTCTTGGGCGCCTCTTGGGCCGTCTGGGGGCCCTCTTGGGCCGTTTTGGGGGCCTCTTGGGCGCCTCTTGGGCCGTCTTCGGACGGTCTTGGGGGCCTCTTGGGCCGCCGTCAACGCCGTGAAAAGCGCAAAGCCGTATATACTAAAGATGTACGCTTTCCTCTGGAAAATCGAAAAATATTGGCCTCTTGGGGCCCTCTTGGGACGCCCCTTGGGCGCCTCTTGGGGGCCTCTTGGGGGCCTCTTGGGCCGTCTTGGGCGGTCTTGGGCGGTCTTGGGCTCTTCTGGGACGGAAGAAAATCCGAACAACATGCAAAAACCGTAGGGAAACTGCCCAAAACGGCCATTAGAACTCATCCACGCCCCGTACGCCCCCCCCCTGGACCCCACCCCCCTTAAGGGGCTTCGCCCAACGCACAACGTCATCGCTCGTACCTCGCTCTTTCCGTTACCTGGCCCGGCACAGGGCCTTGGCGTTGAGAGCTTGTTACGTCACCCCGCGCTCTTGGGAGCCTTGGTGTTCAGAGATTGTCGTGTTGCCGCCCGGTCCTGAGCCTTGCAGGGAGCCTTGGCCTGATCAGCTTGTTTACGTCACCGCTCGCTCTTGGGAGCCTTGACGTGAAGAGCGTTGTGCGCTACCGATCGTTCTGTATTTGGCGTCTCTGGGCCTTCTTGGGGCTTCTTGGGGGGCTCCTGGGGCCTCCTGAGAGCGTCTCGGGGCGAAAGGCTAGACTTTTTGGTTCGTGGTCCCCCTC